GGACCAACTAATCTGATGTAGTACCTATTAAATGCTACTTTAAGCTTTAAATCAATAAATCTTCAAAAGTACTGAACTGAAGTACATTAATTTTATATCATTATAAAGGGAATTGAAAGATCTTTAAAATAAGGTATCACTCGACCCCCCTTTCCATTTAAGATTTTAGGGTTGTGTCACCCCCGTCCAGGGGGCTGGACGTGTTAACGTGATCTTTTGCCAAACTTGTGTCCCCCTCGAAAACAAAATCGACGGGTCTGAGCGTTTTTCCAAAAAAAAACAGAGCTGCCAGTAAATGCGTCTGTTTCGTTTTCGATGCGCCACCCTGTATATAAAAAAATATATAAATGTACGAAGAAGTCTACGATGTGTGATCTATGTCAAATAGGTGCGTAAGATTTGCAAGGTGGGGAGCGAATTAATGTACCAAAAAGTTAACATACCTAGGTACCTCCCCACCCCACTACAACCCTCACCACCAAGTTTTTGTTACCTCTAAAGGTGTTTTAAAAATGATCGGGATCCTCTGAAATGCCAAAAAACGAGGTTTGAGTAACTTTTATTCCTTTTCGTTTTTGGCCTTTTTCTCTGCCGCCGCTGGACCAATTTTCGAAAACTGCAATGCTTTTGCATCCTTGACATAGTAGTATAGCATCGTCCGAGAGGCATTTCTCAAGTTATAGGCAGTTATAAGATTAGCAGACACCAGACAGACCGACGAAAATGAGTGACATGTTTTTTCGTCTTGTAACATACAACATCCAAAACATAATATCTCATTTTCGGACTTATTCGCGATTACAATACTTTCCCGCTATGTGAACGGTACAATTTTTAAATTATGTCAGGTGGGATGAGGTTTGATTTTTATTCTAGGGTCATAAACAATTACCACGCGACCTGCTCTGTTTTGTAGCGGAAAAAAAGAAGCCGTCACTTACAAAAGCGGATTTAGAAAATGTTTTTTGAGGGGATACATATGACGAATTTCAAATATTATTCTGCTGAGGGGATGGGGAGCAAATAATCCATATCCGTCTCGGGGGGGGGGGAGGCTAGTTATCTACGATTGAGAATCGAAGGGGGAGGTCACCTGCAAATTGAAGAGCACATACAAATTTTTTTAAGCTCGGATATTTTGGAGAGGATCCTACCCACAGGAAAGCCCCCTGAATCCGCTACTAGTCATCTGGAAAACAGATAAATATAAAATATTTTGTCATTTTGATCTATACTGATTGGTGGCCGAGCGTCAATAGACAGTAATTTCTACGTATGCGACTTTATTTGGTCATAAAATTGATATGAAATTTATATCCGTCAACCAAGGGATTTTTTGTATGCAGGTGAGATAAACAGTGCAATTTTATTATATTTAATGATCATTCAAAATTAGTACCTATCACTTCTCAGAATTGTACCTACCAAGTTGCGTTATCCCGTACTCTGCAAACAAGCTTTATTTACCTGTTAAGGCTACTAAATGCCTTTTGATGTCCCATGAAGGTAGTGCAACTTCTCAAAGGCATCCTCAATAAAGCAATTTGTGGTTTATGGTGTGTTTACATTTTTTTCTCAATCAACTGTATTGAAGGCCGTTTTCCCGTTTATGTTTATTGAAGTTTGGTCATAAAGAAATAACTATCTTGCTTTATTCTGTTGCCACAATAGAACTATTTTGAATGCCGTACAATGAAGGTTCAAGCTTTATTGAGTTTCACTGTTGTCAACCCTTTCTTGGTTAATACGGAATTATGCCTGGTTCTAAAACTTATTTCCTACACTTTGATGATGTATTTTCCACTAAGACAATCACACATTCATTTCAATGATGATGCACTTTATTCCCGTTTTTCGCTCGTAAGTTGGAAACAACCGTATTTAAATATCGTACTTTGGGAGTGAATTTACTTAGATCATCTATGAGCCAATAATTTCTAGTCAAACTATCAGCATCAAAAATATTATTTTCCTGACAGAAGTCTACCCTCCATGCCAGAAGTAGGATCACATTCTAAAGGCAGGAATAACTTATTACGTCACGATACGTCTTACTGCGTCACAGCTTTGGTGCAGAATTTAAAGTTTGGAGTTTTTCGAAAAAGATGAACACTGCCAGAATATACTTTTTGCTGTTACTTCCTATGCCTCTGAGCGATGAAATATTATAATCACGAAAGGTTTCAGAAATGAGATATCATTTTATTGGACTTACCTCACGAAAAGCCATGTCACTCATTTCCGTCGGTCTGTCTATTCGCTAATCCTTGGACCGTCTGTAACTTGCAAAGTACTGCTCGGATTTGGATGAAGTTCTTACTATGTCAAGGACAGCTTGAGTGGTGATGGAGAAAACAACCAGAAACGACAAAAGACGCTAAAACTTCGTTTTGATAGATAAATGTTTCCGATATGCGTCCCATTCTGCTATCTGGACTCAGCGTCTAGCGTCACGATCTGCTTGATTGTTCTGTTCTTTTGCCGCGGTGCTTCTGTGGATGCTGCCGCGTCTGGCGATATGGTAAGAGACAACGTTGCCGTATGGACGGTAACTACCAGTAAGCAGGAAAGAATGCCTATAGACAAATTGTATGAGCCTGTTTGACTGACTTGATCGGTTAAATTTGTATATTGTACGTGTAACTAATTTTCACTCGAAGGGCTTACCTTGTGCTGAACTTAATCTTTTGTGCACGGATAACAGCATTTCGTAAGAAGTGCAGAGTCAACATACTTGACGCCACTTGTTCGACTACTAATTGGTCGCTTTATCCTTAGTTGGCTCTTGTACAACTAGACGGATCCCATCCTTCTATATATGGTGACCCAAAAACACTTTTAAAACAGAAGGTGCATATAAAAAAACAACAAATGTTCCAATACGAGAGTGTAAGTTTTGGCTGTACTGCTACCAGTTGTGGTATTTTGGCCAGTCTCCCAAGATATAGTACATATGATTTTCAATTTCAAATGTCTATACTTCGGAGTTTTTTGAAAGTAGTAAAACATTTATAATGGTTTCTCTCTCAAATTTTAACCAACTTTTCTCCAAACAGTCTATCAGAAATATGTCAAGGCAAATATATTATTAGAGAATATAATATATATTTCATAAAGGTCCCTGGCTTAGACATAAATTTTTATTTCTTTGCATGGATTTTTGGTTTCGAAATTATAGCATCAGTGTCTTGTACCGGTAACTAGTCATTTTAAGATCAATATTTTTAGGAACTTTCTGCTCTAGAAATATAGCTGGTGCTTTTTTAATCACTCTGAGGATTATCCAATATCGTTGAGAGCCAGAGGCGTAACCAGAAAGGATTTTTAGGGGTTTGCCATACTACGAAGAGCCAAGATGGCCTAAGTGTGGACGTAGTCTCATGTAGGTTACAACATTGCAAATCCCAAAACCTTAGAAAAATGATTAAGGGCTTGGACAGGTTGAACCCTCAATCACCAATTTTAAAAACAAGGACGCAAGCTGTAAAGTAGAGGGTGCCCTACATTTTTACGGTTACTCCGTCACTGGCTTCATCCTTTAATGCCCTTTATCGTCGTAAACATATACATATTTACACGTTTGAAGTCGAGACTATTTGATGTTCAAATAGCAAGCTAACATCTAGGGCAAACGCACGGCGCTTTGATGTTCACCTGCTTTTACGACTCGCTTCTCATTAAGCGACTCAATCGGAAATCTGTGGAATTTTTTGTTTGTCTGGGTGCCGCACTGTTTACATGTCAAATGACTATCGTCTGATGGAACTATTTCTTACTAACTTTCATTATTTCTGGTCGATGATGCACAATGTTTCAATTTGAAATCAAAAACAAAGGAATAGCGCATCGTTCTGAAAATCACCTGCACTGCGACACGGTGCAGTATAGAATTCGATCTAACGTTTTCTAAAACAGGCTTCTATTTTCGTTGTCGATAATTAGATTTATGGGCACTCCGTGACTCTATCCCTGATTCTTCCGCTATGCTCGGCAAGCTCAGTAACATTTTGCCATGTTAAGCTATGGCCATCAAATACCTACAAAATGAGAGCAAAGCGTCATGTTCTATGATTAGTGTGGTTATGTTTCGGGATATTTTGATGTTTGAATTCAAAGTAATTTCCATTTATATTCGAATAACCTAAAGTTCACCAATAATATTTGCGCTAATTGCAATCCAAATTCTGGAAGTGGACGGGGAAGATATATAGATTGGGTAGATAGATTATGCATTGAATAATGGTATTCTTCAGCAATTGGAGAATACAAATAACCTTATTTGTATTATCAAATTATTAGTAAATGACAATATTTTTCCGCCTAGTTTCAAATCAACGGACAGCTCAAAAGTATCAGTAATGACATTGTGAATAGAATTCGATGTCTTAGCTGAAAGAAATGAAACCGTTGTAGACTTAGCAACTTGTCGATCTTTTAAGCCCACAGAGTATCGATTGAATAGAATCGCGTCGATATGAAGAATACGATAAAACACGGAGTCCCAATGCTGGTCCATTAGTATGAATACCTACCTTGATACCTGATATACCTGAAAATATATGTATGTAACCAATATACCATAATTGAAGCAGTATAAAGTCCAGCAAAAACGTGTTAACTAGAAATGGCTGACCTGATGACAAAGCTGAAAACACGAGACAAACGGGGAGCATTATTATGAAATCAACCAAACTGGCTTAATAGACAACTTAAATATAGTCGATATCGATTACCAGCGAAGATTACCATCGAAAGCTTTAAGTGAGCTGTTGAAGAATCAATTAGGCTGTGAAAATCTGCGAATGACGTTATCGGTCCATCAAGAAGCATCGGATGAAACAAAGGAACGCGGATGATGCTGCTCCCACGGTCCAAAGAAATCCGGTGGTGAGCCTGTTTGAACAATAATTGTACCAAATTTGTACCAGGTAAGCACGAAATGTTCCTGCAATGGTGGAACCTATATCCGCACCAAAAGAGAAATCATTTCTTGAATGGCGTTATGCCACCTTCTCCCTCCTCTTCTTCGCCTCTCTGTCTTCAGTGGTTATACCTATGAAACAAAAAGTACCCAATTTTTATTGTTCCCCGGTGCTAAAATCGAATGAGGTGTATTTCAGTACTAAAATATTCATTTCTTTAACAAAATAACTGGCCGAAACGACCGCTCCTTTGTCCCGAGGGAAGGAACCTTTTCCCAGTTCTTTTAACCTTAGGCAGTTCAAAAATCGCATTAGCAAAATGTCTTTGGTATCCTCATAGCTGCCACGATGTCCTGGTATTTAGGCTTTTACCTGCGAGGCTGCTTAGGCGTAAAAAATCTACCAAATTTCGTTCTATTTCTCAATTTTTTATTGATTATGGTGCTTTTAGTGACAGTAACAAATCATTATGTATTATCAAAATTCTATGAAGCAAAGTATACATATATCGTATGGACATTATCTTGATATTCTGGGCTTTGCCGTCGTCCAAATTAAATTCCTTACCTGTAAAAACCGCAAAGCAGTTGACCTACCGGGTAGAAGTATAATTTTTACACACATAATTTCATCATTCAAACACAGCCTGATTATGGCAGGGCGGTCAAATGGTCCGCGAAAAAACAAAAGAGACCACAAACATCCCATCGCCTACTGTTTTCTGACAAAAACATTAATTTTTACGATTTTTAAAAACAATCGCTACTCCGTGCGAGAGGTGAATGAAATTCCCAGAAATAATCAAAAAAATTTCAGCCACCGCGGTCGCTCAGGGACAATAAATTGGGCAAATACAATAAACAAAACGTTTTACGATTTTGGAATTGTCATGGAACCCGTTTTCGGCTCAGGTGTTGACAATGGGGTATGTTTATGAGGACCTTGCCACAGATCGTGCCTCTATATTCTTTTTTAGGTGTTGCCAGACTTATAACTATCATTTTCTTCCTTAAAGACTTTTCTTCTTACGCCTCTTGGTACAGCTAACATAATTTAAAAAATCCAAGGTCTCAAAATTTCAAAATTCCATAGAAAATGGCTATTCAAAAGACTCAAATTTTACCGAAAATTGATCAGATATTCAGGGTGTCCAATTTTAATATCCCCACCTAAATATTTCTAAAACAACGCATCATAGAGAAAATGTTTCAACCAAACGTTTTAGGGTTTTGAGAGAGAATAATAAAGGTGACCTTGATAATGACCTTGACAACGACATTTAAGGTAATTTCAAGGTCAAGATGTCATTTTTAAATAGAAACTCCTTGTTTACTTCGGAATTAAATAAAGGAGAAAAATCGTCCGAATATGACAATTACTAATCGAAACGTTGGAAACAATTTGCTCTAGCAAAAATGTTTGACAGCACAGTTGCGAGGTTTGTGGGAATCACTTGAACGTTGCTTAAACCAAGACCTTGCCCACCATCGAGCTCAAGTCAAAATTCCAAGAGGAAATCTCTCATTTTTATAGCGGAAATAGGAAAAGGAAAGAAATTATACTTATGAATGTAACCTTGACAACAAAGTCAAGGTCGTGTCGAGGTTAAATGTTATTCGAAACCAAGCTCACACCGTATGCTAAATTTTCTGCTACATTCATTTCCATCATAGGAACGAGAGCTTTCCGTTGAATAGTTTGGCTCAACCTTGAAGGTTAAGGTCATGGTCATGGTCAAGGTCATGGTCAACGTCACCTTTGGGTAATCCCCATAAATCTCACAATTAATCTGTCGAACATTTTTGCTAGATCAAATTGTTTTCGATGTCTTAATTTGACCTTGGAATGACCTTAAAGGTCCTTATCAAGGTCATGGCCAAAGTAATATGTCACCGAGGGGAAAATGGGGCTTCCATTTTAAAACATTTACTTGACCTTAAATATATGATCTTGAATGTCATATTCAAGGTCATTGTCAAGTTCACGGTTCACGATCGTTTTGCCCCTCGAAACCGTACAACTTTTGTTTTCGAAATATTTATGTGGAGAGATAAAATTGAAACACCCTGTATAATAACGTAAATCTTCACACCTCATGCTACAGAAAATAAGTTCATCTGTTCCAATGTATGTGTGTGACTATTATGTCTAACTCGTGCGTTACACAGAGTTATTACGCAAAATCTGATGCGCCTAGATTTGTAACTGGAGGAATACCATTATCCAGGTAAGTTTAGGTTTGGGTGTTAATACATTTGTGAAGCCTATAGGTATTTGTAAAGCCTTCATACGTGTAGCATGGTAAACGTTTTGCAGGGTTAATCTATCATGGTCTAATAATTTTATAGTCAGGTAGTTTTGAATAATATCCTTTCTTTTAACTTGCACTCCAGTAGTGAGGCTTAATCCGACTTGAGTCACTGTCGCTCTTAACCCCCTACTCTCCGCTTTACTGAGCTAGTGCCTAAATTTGCACGCTACTTGACAGCTCTTTTGCATTGACTGACCTTTAGATTTATTTTATAGTGTTTTATTCATTAGTTAATTAATTCATTAATTAATAAAAAAACGAATCACACCACATTCCTCTCACTTATAAAAAAGGCGTGGCAAGGGGCCTAGTATTACTGGAATGATACATTATCAGTCTTTCGCTGATACCATACTAGAGACGTGACCTCTGTTGATAATATTGCAGAACTCAAAATTGTTAAGTATGCCTAATGCTGCTATTGAAATTTCCACAAATTCGTGGTAATATACGAGTACACGCCGCTCGCCTATGGCTCTGTGCATAGTTTTAACGAAATCAAAATGTTGTGTTGGTCCACCGAAACCTTCAAAGTATTTCCGTCCTTTGCTAGGTAGAAACCGTGTTTCAAATTTTAATAAAAATTCGAGCGGCACCTTCCGAGTTATACGGGGATGAAGGATTAGCGGACAGACAAACCTACTGCCAGATCTACAGACAGATAAGCCGACAAACAAACCGTCGGAAATGAGTGACATGGTTTTTTTGTGATGTACATGTCATATGATACAAAAAACATAATATCTCATTTGCGAAATTTTTCGCGATTACGTGTACATTTATTCGTAAACTGGCAACGCTGCATTTTTTAAGCCTGCTGCTGGGCAAAACGCCGGTTATGACTCTATTAGCGGTTACCTGGCAAAGGTGAGAACTGAAGATTCAACATAGGAGGTCAGCTTCATTATTCCACTTCAAAGGAAGACCGGCGGCCGTAGCGCTGCCGTGGTTCTTGGGCCACGGCCAGCTAGACGCCTAATTGTTCTTCTTTCATAACTCCCTAAAGTGTAAAAAATGGAGGAGCGGCCCTACAGCGTTGTGTGTCCAAGCATCAGCGACTCGTCACGAAAAATTATTTTTAAGCAGGGCAAAGCTTTTATCAGTCTTTACTATGACAAAACTCATCGATCAACACCTTCTGCTCAAAGTGTAGGTGTCTCCAACCTCATGCTCATAGTTAACGACGTCAAAATGCAGTACATGGTTGTATATAAGCAGATGTACTTAAAAAGAACATAGATTATATGGTAGTTCCACTTACCTATATTATCAGCAAAGTGATTGAAACAGGGGTGGTGATAAGATGGAGCTGACCAATTATAGACCAATATACTTACCCGTTGTCTACCTTCTGTAAGATACTTGAAAAAACTCAAATCCTGGAAATCAGAATTGTGAGTTACGTAAAGGAAAATAAACTATTGTCGGACAATCATTTCGGATTAGTGACAATAGGGAACCAGCTACATGAATCTTCAAGAGCATTCGGTACTATTGATCATTACCATCTGTTAGAAACGTCGGGAAAATTGGGTTCCTGAGGACAAGCACGCAGCCTTTCGGAAATTTGCTCAAGGGGTAGACAACAGTGTGTTAAAAGAAGTAATACTACAAGTAGTAATCTGACTGTAAGTTGCGGGGTACCCCAAGGTACCGTACTTGGTCCAGTTTTTTTCATCTTATGTATAAATTCTCTACTTATCCTACCTGTTCCCGTAGAAATTTTCTGATGATGTTTGTTGCATAAAGCTGATAAATGGACTGATTTCAAACATAAAATACAAATAACATTGCCAACAGCATTAGAGATTACCTCAATAGCAAAATACGGACAGTGAGTATGAAAAAGACACTTACCTAGCTTTTACTAGTTACTCTGCAAAACTACCTGATTTCAACGACGTCACGGAGCTGGAGCTCACAAACGCACATACTAGCAAACAGCTAGCTAAGTAGTCATCTCTCATTTAAGGTGGGATCAACATACAAATAATCTTATGAAAACGCTAAGAATGCTCTTACCAGTTCTAAAACAGGTCAAAAGTACCCCATATCATTATGCCAACAGTCTGGTACACATGCCTTTCCATAGAAGATTGTGGATCTGACGTTTCCCCACGTCACATTCTACCCTTGCACGGTCACCATGCTTGCCAAAACAGAATCTGAATTTTTCACTAAATGCAATGGTATTCGATTGGAGGTCTCAGTTTACCCGTTCTCTGCATCGAGTCAGTCGATCGCTTCCATGCTCTCCAAACCATCCGCAATTGACCTTGTGGACGAGAAGTGGCCCCGTAGAGCCAAAAGCCTGAAATAGCAATCCTTACTATTCGTCATTGTCTGTCAGAGCGGTCCGTAGGACCTTTGCTCTTGGTTGAAGTCTTGTAAGTCAGTAGGTCTGTCAGGTCTGGTTGCCCAGATACCAAACAAAATCAGGGAGAAAGAAGGGAAGGAGAAAGGAAGGAAGGAAGGAGGGAGAGCAAAGAAAAAAGAAGTGCATCAATTTGAGGGGTGCCTTGGCATTGCTAGTTAGTATTCGGCAATTTTAAATTGATCCTAAAATTAATTTTGGGATTAGTTGTTGAAGAAAAATTATAATTTTGGTAGGACCTAAAGTCGCACGATTTAATTTTGTTCACAGTGCGAGTCGCGGCCTTGTGTGCTAGCGAACTTGCTCGACTGTGTAGTCTACTGACTCCCGCAACAAAGGGTTGTTATGCGATTTTGCTTGACTGTAACGTAGCTGCGCTTGTTGTTTGATGTAGTCCCTTAGATAAGGGATGTCAAGGTCTCTGTGTCTCGTTGGAAACATACCATGGGACGTTAGTGATTGTACGCAAGTTTCTGTTCTGCAAAACCTGCAGGCTACGCAAATGCGTTTTGGCGAGAAAACACCAAGCCGCACTTGCGTAAGTGATCGCTGGTCTAATAACCATCTTGTATAGCCGAACTTTGTTGATCAAACTTAATTTTGATGTTCTACATAGCATAGGGTAGAGTTGCCGAAACGAGATTTGGAATTTAGTTTTTAACGCTTCAGTGTGCTTCTGCCAGGTTATCTCCTTGTCAAGAGTGACACCGAGATACTTAGCAGAGCTTTCCCATGGTACCCAAGCTCCATTCATTGAAACCTCAGACGGGGCGCCGCTACGTTTTTTAGTACAATAGATTGCCTGCGTTTTCGCATGATTAATTTTGATCCGCCACCGATTCGCCCATTCCAATACCTCGTCCACTGCACTTTGCAGCCTGTCGTGAACTAGATCCCCAGAGCACGACTGGGCCACCAGGGCAGTGTCATCAGCATAGAGATAGGTTTCACAGCTGCTGGGGCAAGGGACGTCATGAATAAAAAGTGAATAAAGGACTGGTCCAAGAACCGAACCCTGAGGGACACCGGATATGATGGGCCGTGTTGTCGACAGAACGTTATTAATTTTGATCTGAAATTTCCTACCCTCGAGAAAGGATTTCAAAAGTTTTAAGAGCCAGAAGGGGAAGCCCTTATAGATCAATTTGTAGAGAAGGCCCTTGTGCCACACCTTTTCAAATACCTTTGAGACATCGAGTAGCAAGATACCAGTACTTTCGTTACGGGTGAACCCCCTGGTTACTCGTTCAACAAGCCTTATGGCCTGTAGCTCCGTACTATGCTCAGACCGAAAGCCAAATTGCACGTCAGGAATCACATTGTGGTCTGCCGAGAAATTTTCAAGGTGACGTAGAATCACCTTTTCAGCGAGCTTAGAAGGAGCTGACAGTAGACTAATGGTGCGGTAATCCTGGAGGAATATCGAACCCAACCTCCTTTGGAATCATTATGACATCAGCGGTCTTCCACGCCGTTGGGAAGTGCTAGGTCCTTAGCATGGTATTGATTATTGCCACGAGATAAATTAAGGACTTCCGCGAAAGTAGCTTCAGCGCCTTATTAGTGATTCGATCCTCTCCAGGTGCTTTACGCACCTTGAGATCTTTAATATGACCTTGGAGCTCTGCTGGTGTGCAATGCGGAGTCTCAGGAGATTCCGCTGATGTGCCGTGCAGCTCTTCAATTGAGGAATCTTCTGAAGATTCCTCTGAGGAAAAATTACTAAGGGAGGCACTACTGCCACTGACGCCGTTGGCCCTAAAATATCTCCTGACGGATCTTACAATACCTATGTTGCTCCTCGTCGAGGTCATTATCAAGGTCATAGTTGGGAGAGAACTGACTTTCCATTGCATCAGCGAAAACCTCGACCTTTTCCTCTGTCCTACAGACTATGCCCCTAGGACCGTGGATGTGCGGGAGTTGTTCTCGCTTTCCGTTTCTGAGCGACTTTGCAATACTTGAGTCAAGCATACCCGACAGAAAGTCGCTCTATTGCTCATTACGGAATTCATGAAGAACATTTCTCACTTCATGAACAAGATTCGTTGCTCTGTGAATGTCATCTGGGTGACAAGACCTCTTCGCTTGCTTAATTGCAGCTCTTTTGTCAGAAATTTTCTGACGAGTGTCTGCAGGGAGAATAGCAATCCTTATGCGGGGCCTTTCTTCTGACACGTCATGTGCCACTAGCTCTTCGTGTATGGCCATCGTGCTGCTGAAAATGTTCTGGTCTTCTCGTTATAGGCATAATGAAAAGACTAAAGCAGCTCTTCACAACGTGTTGAAAGATGTTCAAATGCCAAATGTATTTTTTGTTAAAAAAGACATCACAAAAATCGCTATGCCGATATAGTTGAAAAACTGATCGTTTTTTTCTGCCATAACTTAGACAAAGCTATACCTCTAATTTGTTTGTAATAAATTAATTATTACTGGATGTTCCTTTTTCTACAGCACTTAGTATAATAGCTCAGTTTTGTATTCATGCCAGCATTTAGTTAGCTATAGTCGCATATACTCAGGGAAGCCAATACAATGTTATATACTCTCCCAACAAAAGTTAAACACTACTGCTTGTACAGTGTTTTATTGTGAGACTTGTACAACAAATCGATCTAGATGTCCATGATTATTTGTCGTTTTACTAAAGCGTTTTTCCTAATTGATTCCGCTTAGAAATTATTGTGATACGTGTTTACATGGTAAATTCTAACAAATTTAAAAAAAATCGGCTGAAGGGATATTAGGATTTCTACAAGTAAATGGATTTTCACAGGCTCGACACCACGCCATACGAATTACCGGTCTTTTCTTGATACGACGTATACTTTGGAATCACCCAAAAATTCACCCCTTTCTTTGGCCAGGTATTACACCCTTCATGCATGTCCGCCACCATTTCATATGATATGCTGTAGGAGTAGCATCTCTATATTATTTATGAAAAGCATTTGCTGCGCAAAGGAGCAAGCAGATGTACCTCTCAAGCCTCGAAAAACATCTTAAGTAGATAAACGTGTAACGTTTTGACGCTTTCGGTTCATGCTTGATGGCCCAAACAAACACTCGATCCTTTTGAGTGGCTCGTTGAAAGCAGAGAAGAGGCATCTAAAAGGTGTTCACATTACCACATTAAATAAGCTGGTGATGTTTTTTTGATATGTCTGGTACGACCAATTTAGTACAGACACTTTTATATAGAATAGCAGTATACGTACCTGGTGGCATACGTACTATGTTTAACACCGCGTGATACCAGTAACTGCCGATGTAATTCCAATGAAGCTTGTTTTAATCCATGTTGATACAAAATTTCAAAGGACAAAACATGAATAATGCTTATCGTGGGGTAGTACCGCCTACTTCGCTTTTTTCAGCAAATTTCCAGAAATTTACTCAAATTTGAAGTTGATAGCTTATATCAATTTTTTTCAATAAAATAGTTCGGAACATACGAGGTCTTGAGTGATGAGACGGGCAACGTAGCGTTCCATCTGGGAACACTGGAGGCGCCGGACTTGGAGGGGATACAGGGGAAGATGTGATCCGGCTTCAGTGCAAGTTTGATCTCGCTCGAGTCATTTGGTGGACCTATTCTGTTTTAAAAAAATGAATGACATCGATTTTGAGCAACGGTGTGCTATCAGGCTCTGCTTCAGACTTGGACACAGAGCAACGTTAAAACTGCTACTAAACAGCAGGCCTAGGTGGATAATGTTTTGCCAAGAGCCCAGGTATTTCGGTGGTTTGATATATTTTCAGAAGGGAGAGAGTCGATTGAAGATGAACCACGAAGCGGAAGGCCTTCATCTTCAAGAACCAATGAAAATATCGACAGAATCCGGGATCTCGTGCGTTCAGATCGTCGGTTGACAGTCAGAATGGTCGTAAAAGAGTTGAATTTGACTCACATTACCTTTCATTAGATCAATAACAACTGGTTGTTTCATCACGATAATGCTCTTTGTCACACAGCAATGTCAACAAAGTAAAAACATTAAT